GGATTAATCTCATTATTTCTTTGTGATGGCATTTAACTTCTTCCAGTAAATTGGAAAGTAGATCTAAGGGCTTGGTAAGACTTAAGTGAAACTTTTGGGGCAGCAATTCTTGTTTTTAATTTTTTATCCTCACCCGAGGACATTTTTGCATTTATCTTCAGACAGAGCAGGAGGGAGAGAGAGAGAGAAACATCGATGTGAAAGAGACACATAGAGTGGTTGCCACCCACATGACCCCAGTTGGGGCCAAGGACAAACTGCAACCGAGGTACGTGCCCTTAGTGGGAACCGAACTCGGGACACTCTGGTCCATGGGCCGACGCTCTAACCGCTGAGTCAAACCGGCCAGGGTTGGGCAACAATTTTTTAGGGTGATACCATGAGGTTAACACATCCTGTCAGGAGATACATAACATTAGATGATCTCACTATTAGTGATGTTAAATTTGAGTAAAGCATGGACAGCAAACTCCTTCATTATAAAGACATGTACATTAACCAATGATTACTTTCTAATTCTATTGATCCTACAGTATTTATCAGATGGCATTTTTTCTATAAAGAAGAGTTTCCTCTTATCAGGTGGGAATGAACTAAAAAAGTTTCTCCTACAAAAGGATGGTACGTCTCATATTTCCCTTCAATGATGAATTTTTTTTTTTTTTTCCCATTTCTTATTCAGATAGAGCGGGAAGGAGAGAGAGGAAGAGAGAGAGAGAAACATCGATGTAAAAGGAACACATCGAGTGGCCGCCGCCCACACAACCCAACCAGGGCCGGGGACAAACTGCAGCCAAGGTACATGCCCTTAGCGGGAACTGAACCCGGGTCTCTGTGGACCGCAGGCTGACGCTCTAACCGCTGAGCCAAACCGGCCAGGGCTCAATGATGAATTTTAAGGTAAGAATTAGCCATAGTAGTCACCTCAAATCAGGACAAATGAATGTTTTTTTCCTCTTCATTTCTAGTATCAATAAAGACTTGTGAATTTTTGCTTATTCAGTGTTTGATACAAAATTATAATTCTTCTTCTTTTTGTTGCTCAAACTGTCCCGTATCAGGTCAGTGGGAGCTCCTTTGAGTTGGCTCCTGTGTTCTGAGACTTCTCCGTAGTCTTGAACAGCTTCCTTAGTTTATGGCACAACAAAATGTAAGTTCACATGTGCTTTTCTTCCCCCGACATGTGGAATGAGCCATTTCTCTAAGAAGTTTTCCTCTAGTGGGGAATAGTATTTAGAAATCAAGACTTTGTTTCTGGGGGTATCTGTGGTCACTGTATTGTCATTGCATCCAGGCCTTTTCTGTAAACAGCTAAGAAACAATTACGCCCAACACACATACACACGAATTCATACTAAGATTTTAGATTTAAATATTGATAGCTTTATATACATAATGTAATATAAAGTTATAAATTTATATTGCTATTATCAATAGAACTTTTGGGCAATGTTTGATATTTAATTGTAGTACTTTAAAAAAATGAGGTTTTTTTTCTTTGATTTTAAAAGAGAGAGAGGGAGAGATAGAAACATTGATTGGCCACCTCCTGCATGCCCCCCACTAGGGATTTGGCCCACAACCTGGGCATGTGCCCTGACTGGAAATCAAACTGGTGACCACTTGGCGCGTGGGTTGACACTTAACCACTGAGCCGCACCGGCCAGGCTAATTGTAGTACTTTTTATCCTTAGAGCTTATCTACTAAAAATATATTCACATTACTGTTTTCAAAAGTACTTAAAAATAATCCTTTTCTCCATGTGATTATGTTAAATTTTGATATATTGTTTGCCATTTTATACTTTTATTTCCTTTTGATATGTTTTTTTTTATCCTCACCCTAGGATATTTTTCCATTTTTTGTACAGATAGAGTGGGAGGGAGAGAGAGGAAGGGAGAGAGAAACATCGACGTGAAGGGACACATCGAGTGGCTGCCACCCACACGACCAACCAGGGCCGGGGACAAACTGCAACCGAAGTACGTGCCCTTAGCGGGAACCGAACCTGGGTCTCTCGGGACCGCAGGCCGACGCTCTAACCGCTGAGCCAAACTGGCCAGGGCTCCTTTTGTATGTTTTTAAATTTTTTTAATATATAAAATATTTACATTATTCAAAAGTTAAAACTATGAAAAATATGCTCAGCAGTCACATCATTTGTCCTTTCCACTTCACCCCTTCCTCCAGTAGGCGGCCTATGCTGAACAAGTCCACTGCTGACAGACACACATTTTTTTTGATGGATGTACAGGCCTTTACTTGTTTTCTTCTGTGGGACTTCATGCAAATTCCTTTCTTCCCTTTTTAATTAATTAATTTATTTTTGTTACAGATGTTTCTCCCCCCAGACACCCTCCTCCCTACCCACCCCCCACCTCGACCTCGAGAGCATTGTTGTCTAAGTCCATTGGTTACGCACACATGCCTATAAGTTTTTTGGTTTATCTCATACCCCCCCACCCCCGTCTTCTGAAGTCTGTCAGTCTGAGCCATACTCCTTTCTATGTCTCTGGGTCTGTTTGAGGCAATAGGCAAATTCGTTTCTTCTCTTGTTTTAGGTGAAACCACGGTATATGGTTATGATATTGGGGTTATGTAGGTGAAAAATGACATTCAGGAAAGGACGATAAAATAAAGATTTGCAAACCAGCGCATAGAGAATGGTCTCTATAAAATGACAAAAATCAGAAATAAGATAACGTTGACACCCTGTACCTGGTGTCCAATGAAAATGGACGCTAACCTCATTTTAAAGAGAAATATTCAGTGAGAGCGTGAAGCTGTTTTACCTTGCTTACTGCAAGTTGCTGACTGCAGGCCAAACCTTACTAAGGGTACATTCCGCAGTCCCCACCTCAAGACGGCAGAGACCTCCCTGCTGGCTCTAGGTCACCCACTCAAGGACAAATAACTTACTGTATTTATAGGATTTTCACGGTGATAGAACTCATAAGCATTATCTCATTTAGTTTTCAGGGCACATGAAATAAGCCAGAGGGTTCAAATAACTGGCCCTAGGCCAAATGTGGGCCCCAATCCTCACCTGAGGATATTTTCATTTATCGTCAGATAGAGTGGGAGGGAGGGGGAGAGAGACAGGGGGAGGAGTGAAACATCAACATGAGAGGGACACATCACTGGTTGCCTCCCGCACGACCCAACCAGGGCCGGGACAAACCAAAACCAAGGTACCGTGCCTTTGACCAGAATCGAACCTGCGACTCACTGGTCCGTGGCCAATACTCCAACCGCTGAGCCAAACAGGCCAGGGCCCAGATGGTTTTATTTGATTCAAAATGTCTTAAAGTATTTTAGATACTATGAATTAGAATCAAGGAATTGCCTATAAACACCCAGATGTACACGCTCTCCTGATGGATGCAGGGACCCAGGATGCTAGGCTGGAATGGCTGGGGCGGCAAAGCCCTTGACCCCTTTAGATAGTTCATTGTGCTTTCCAGTTTACCACATTTTTCTTTTTTTCACATCCTCACCCGAGGATATTTTTTCCATTTATCTTCAGACAGAGTGGGAGGGAGATAGCAAAACGGGAATATGAGAGAGACACATCGACTGGTCGCATCCCTCACGACCCAACCAGACCGGGGACTGAACCACAACCGAGGTACATGCCCTTGACCAGAATTGAACCCGAGACTCTTTGGTCCACGGGCTGATGCTCTAACTGCTGAGCCAAACCGGCAGGGCTACCACATTTTTTTTAAACGGGCCAGATTTTTACCTTCTCGGCCCTGGATAACTTGAGTGAGCAGCTCTCTGGAGTTTCAGTGTCTCCCAAGATGACCTAGGCCGAGGAGGCTGTCACCCCTCCACTGGGGACGAGCCAAGTCTTTCCAGCCATTGAAGTTCACCTCCCTGCATAGCCATGGCCAGGATTTGGGATTTTGTTCTGAGAGCCCAGGAGAAACATGTGAATGATTCGATTCCATTTGCATTTTATTCTTTTATTTTTTAACCTCACCTGAGGACATGTCCATTGATTCTAAAAAGAGGAAGAGAGAGAGGGAGAGTAAGAGAGAGAGAAACATCAAGGTGAGAAACATCTATTGGCCTCCTCCCGTAGGCACCCTATCTGGGGATCACACCCAAAACCCAGGCCTATGCCCTGACTGGGAATTGAACCCGCTACCTGTTTTTGTGTACAATGCTCCACCCAACTGAGCCACTCAGCCAGGGCCAATTTGCATGTTAAAGTCCTCTTGCTTATCAGATGATGTATTATAGGATTGTACCCCTGAAGCCTATAATTTTATTAACCAGTGTCACCCCAATAAATCCAATAGAGATCTTTTAACACCCGCCCCCCCAAAGTTCACTACATACACCAGTTGCCCAATTACTTTTACTTTGTCATTAAAAACATGGTCACCTCTCCCTTCCCCTTCAGCATCCCTCTTCTCTCACCGCTACCCAGGTCTTTCCTGCTACAACTCGCATCACATTGTGATTTAATCAGTGCTGTCGTTTCACATTGTCCGTCCAGGTGGAGAGACGGAGGAAGGTACCAGGGAGGACACCGTTGTGCTGGGGAAGACGGCAATGGCTTTGGTTTGCTCTGGACAGTTATTCCTCTTAAAGCCCGTGTGGTCATTTATTATGAAAGGTATAAGCCTGTTATATTCTTGTTTTACAATTGATCTAAGATTTTCAGATAACATATTTTCAAGCAAAACTATAGCCCTCTCGCTCATAGAATTTTTTTTTGTTTTATTTTATTTTAATCACCACTTATTCCCCTCTCAGGCCCACTTCCATCCCCCTCCAGTCCCCACACTGTTGTCCGTGTCCATGAGGGTTTTTCCTCAAACCCTCCCCCTCCCCCACCTGAGCTGTCTGCCTTCTCTCTCTGGATGAGTCTGCTTCTATTTTCCTTGTTAGTTCAGCTTGGTCACTAGATTCCACAAATGAGTGAAATCATATGGTATTTGTCTTCCTCCGGCTGGCTTATTTCGCTTAGCATAATGTTCGAATACAGTCATTTTTGACAATGCCTTAAGGAAACCCAAGCGAGACACCACTCAAAGTTTGTGAGCAGGAGCCGGAGCGCCCTGGTCCAGCTCTCCTCCGTGTTGCGGTGGGTCCGGATGGAGTAGAGGCGGCCGGCTCCCGCGTCTTCCAGCAGCCCCCTCTCGGCGTGGATCCTGTGCGGCATGCAGAGACCCGGCTCGCCTTTCTCCGCTTCCTCCTGGAACTGCTGCATGCAGTCCAGGAAAGCCACCATCGCCTGATCGAACTTGCTTTGCAAGAGCGGACACTGGCCCCTGGCATAGTACAAGGGCAGCTCAGGACCGTCCCCCGCCAAAGACGTCAGGTAGGAGCGGTTCCCGCAGGGGACGAGCCGGTACCGCTGGAACTGCAGGCCCAGCGCCCTAGACAGGGCCACCAGCAGCAAGGCCGCCTGCCCCCAGGCCGCGCCGATCTCGGCCCAGCTCACCGGCTCCGTGGGCAGGCAGCCCAGTCTGAAGTTGTTGATGACGGCCAAGGGGCCATCCTTGCGGATCTCGAACACTGACCTGAAGGCGTTGGTTTTCTCCAGCCGGGCGAGCTGGGCCCGGGCGAGCCGCAGCTGGTTCTCCACGCTGCTCAGCTCGTCCCGCAGCTCCAGCTGCTGCCAGTGCAGATCACTGCAGTCCCTGTGGTGCCGCCTCTCCTGCTGGTCCAGCATCGCCGTCTCTGCCTGGGCTGCCTCCAGGGCCGCGGCTGCCCTCCCCTGGTTCCGCTCTACCTCCTCCAGCTGCTGCACCAGCCTGGCTTCCTCCAGCTCCGCGCCCCTCAGCTCCTCCTGCAGCGCCTCCCTCTCGTCCTCGCTTCTCTCCCCGGTCACCACACAGCGCTGGTAGTTCTGACAGTCGGATTCTGAGATAGTGAGTTGGCTGTCCAACTCCTCCAAAAGATTGTCGGTACAGTCCTCACACAGGGGGTGGTCCAGATCACCTTCACCGGACAGGATGTCAAAAATGCCCCCCGTGGCCTTCTGGATGCTACTGAGACTCCTCCCGGAGACCGGCTCCCCAAGCAGGGTGAACTTCCTGGGGCTGCACCTGGACATCTGGCCATCGCCAGGGAGGGTCCAGCCAGAGGCACCATCTTGCAGCTTTTCAGCACGTGTCTCCACTCTGGAGGCTGAGCCTTCCTCTGAGGTTTCTCCTGGTGGCCCCTGAGCGGAGGGGAGCTCCGGAGCCGCAGGTTCCTGGCTGCTGCCCAGGCCCGAGCTGTTCCGAGTCAGCCGCAGGGGCTGGTGGCAACACTGGCAAATGAAGCGGATGGAGGACATGCTGGAGGTCTTGCCGTTCAACTTGGGTCCCAAGTTTCCTCTGGCTCCCCAGCTACTTCTCCATTTATACTTCTCAAGGATCTTTAGGGGAATGAGTTTAAAAACGCATAGCTCATCTCTCCCTCTCCCACTTCACACCTTACCCTCCTTAGATACCTGCAGATTCCCTGAGCTGTTTCAGACAAGTGAGTCTTTCTCCAAGGCAAATCCAATCACCTCACTTTCCTTCTTTAGCATTTTCGAGTCATATCTTAAGAGTAATCTTTCTACACTTGATCTTAGCCAAAAGGCCAAGATGGGATGAGAGTAATCTTCCTAAAACTAAAATCTGATCATGGCACTTCCCTCCTTAAAATGTTTAATGCCCTTATCTTACCTCAAGATAAAGTCTTAGCATCTTAACCTGCTACCAAAGCCTCTGCCCATGTTTCCTGCTTCTTCTCCCCCTTTCCTGCCATCCCCACCCACGGGCTCCTCCGTTTCTGAAAACGAGTCGCCCTTCAATTCTTCCAACATCTTCTGTTGTTCCCTCTGACTGGGACCCTCTTCTTCTCCTTCACTACCTGGAAACTCCTACCCATCCTGTAGGGCAGGTGAGACGTCGTTTCCTGCAGGAAGCCTGTCCTGACCACCAAAGTAAGACTGTGCTCTGGCCCTGGCTCAGCGGTCGGAGCGTCAGCCTGCGGACCAGAGAGTCCCAGGTTCGGTTCCCGCTAGGGGCACGTACCAAAAAAGAAAAAAATAAATAAAAGACTGTGCCGTATTGACACACTTAACATTCTTTATCACACAGTAATGTAGTGGGCATATATGGAAAAGATTTTTGTTTAATTAATAAATCAAATCAGATAAATAGTTTGGAGGTATGCATCTTACCATCAGGTCAGCCAGAAACTAAGATAAGATGAATACATCAAGCATTGCCCGGCTGGTGTGGCTCAGAGGTTGAGAATCAACCCATGCACCAAGAGGTTGCTGGTTCAATTCCCGGTCAGGGCACATGCCCAGGTTGTGGGCCAATCCCCAGTGGGGGGCATGCAGGAGGCGGCCAGTCTATGTTCTCTCTCATTGATGTTTCTCTCTCTCTCTCCTTCTCCCTTCCTCTCTCTCTAAAACCAATAAAGAATAAAAAAGTACATCAAGTATTGGGGTAACAAACACACAAACTAACAAAAAGCTTTACGGAAGACATTGACTGCCATCTGTCAACCACCTAGTTGAGCACATTTAACAAGCCAGAGATACTTGCTCTAGAATCAAAACCTATGAGCTTTTAACCTGCAGTTATTGACTTGGAGTAAACACACAATAAACATGGGAGACCCGATTCCTCACCCCCCACAATAAGGGTGGGAAACCCCAGTGCCCGTCTGTCCCAGTGTCCAGCAGGAGGCACAGTGCCAGCCACACGCACCATCCTGGTGGGTGGGCAAGAAGCTTCTTGCAGACGCACTGGCTGTGGCTGGGTCTACACATTTATTTATTAATTAAAAAATTTTTTTTTCTTTATTGATTTTAGAAAGAGAAGAAGGGAGAGGGAGAGAGAAATAGAAACATCAATGAGAGAGAACATTGATTGGCCGCCTCCACAACCTGGGCATGTTCCCTGACCGGGAATCAAATCAGCACGACCCTGACCAGGGCCGGGACCAAACCACAACCAAGGGACACACCCTTGACCAGAATCGAACCTGAGACTCTGTGGTCTGTGGGCTGACTCTAACTGCTGAGCTAAACCAGCCAGGGAAATTTTCTTTCTTTCTTTTTTTCATTTTAATTTTTTTCCTGATCTCTCTCTCTCTTTTTTTTTTTTTACCTTCACTCAAGGACATTTTTCCACTTTTTATTCAGATAGAGCAGGAGGGAGAGAGAGGAAGAGAGAGAGAGAGGAACATCAATGTGAAAGAGACACATCGAGTGGCTGCCACCCGCATGACCCGACCAGGGCTGGGGACAAACTGCAACCGAGGTACATGCCCTCAGCGGGAACCGAACCCGGGCCCCTCTGTACCACAGGTCAATGTTCTAACCACTGAGCCAAACCAGCCAGGGCCTTCCTTTTTTTATATATAAAAGATGTTTTTGTTTTTGCCCTGGCTGGTTTGGCTCAGTGATAGAATGTTGGTCCGTGGACCAATGAGTCCCAGGTTCAATTCCAGCCAAGAGCACGTACCTAGGTTGTGGTTCGTCCCCGGCCCTGGTCTGGTCATGCAGGAGGCAACCAGTCGATGTGTCTCTCTCACATCGATGTTTCTTTCTCTCTTCCTTTCTCTCCCTCTCCCTCTACCTGAAGATAAAATAGATAAATATCCTGGGGTGAGGATAAGAAAAAAAGTTTTTTTTAATTGATTTTTTTAAGAAAGAGAAACACAATGTGAGAGAAACATCAATCGGCAGCCTCCTGCACACTCCCTACTGGGGATCCAGCCGGCAAACCCAGCACGTACCCTGACCAGGAATCGAACTGGGACTTCTCAGCCCATGTGAGGATGCTCAATCCACTGAGCCACCCCAGCCGGGCCTGTGCTACAGTTTTCAAGCCCCCCCCCCCCAACCCAAGTCACTGTCAGGATGAATTGGTGGTTTACACCTGTTAATCGCACTAACCCTTTCATGCAGTTCTCACCAGCCTAGCTGAGCCGCACAATTACTGGGAAGTGGGAAGACGGGAAACACTTTAAGGTGAAGAGAGGTTAAACCACTAGTGGAGTCCCTCTAGCCCTCATGTCCTCTCTGATGTTCCCCTGAATTTATAAATGATAGGACCATCCTCTGGAAGTTGACAACAGGCAACTCAGGATTCTCCAGAACCTGTCTAGTGGGCCAAAGATGAAAGTCAGCCCCACAATGACAAGAGGATGGATCAACTGCTAAGACAACACTCGTGGCTGCTCTGAATTCAGCAATGAGGGCCACACAGCGCTGCAGGGACCTGCCACACGAGCCTGCCTTTCTCCACCCTGGCACCCCCATTCCCCCGAGGGCTCGGGGAGCAGCAGAATAAGGAACCGCTTTCAAAGTCACCAGCAGCCCTGAGTCCTGATTCATCCCTAGGAGCAGACCGGCAAAGTAAGCGCACTGCTAGTGGCTGCCCCTCTTCCTAATCCCTCCTCTAAAACCGAGCCATGCCTGCCTTTAAACTTGAACCAGCTGAGGAAAGATGGCTCAGGCAGGCACACAGCTGTGAGGGGAGGGAGGACTGTTTCAGATTCCAGGTGATCTGACAACCGATTGCCCCAGGACAGTCCAGAATCCAGCCCTCCTGTCGGCAGGGACACAACCATCACCCACCCTCCTGCAATGAGGGATCGGGTGGGACTGCCGTGCTGTGCCCAGAGGGAAGTAAGTCCCTTCTTGTTGCTGGAGACGTCCCTCCAGCCCTTCTTACCTCCTCATTCCAGGATCTCACTTGTGAGGGTGAGGACCCCACACATGTGAATTGGAAGCACAATCCTGGTGTCAAAAATCAGGGAGTCCGTGGTTAGTGGGTGGAGTTTTAGTTTGGGAACATGAGAAAGTTCTGGAGATGAACACTGATGACATTTGTCCCACAATGTGAATGTACCCAATGCCAGTGAACAGGACACTTAAACATCTAATACGGTGATTTGTTAGATTGAAAAATAAAACAGTAATAAAAGAAATGAAAGGACCTGCCTCTCTCTCTGCAGCATCCCCGGGGTAACGAGAGAGCTGCGAGGAACTGGCTGAGCGACCGTGTTTCCTGGAGATTTAAAACCGCAAAGCTCAGATGGTCCCAGGGTGCGTGGCCATCCTGTCAGGAACCAGAAGAAGTATTCACAGCTCAACATGCTCAGCAAATCGACCTCCCGTAGACCATCAGACGAAAGCTCCGTTTGCTGTAAATCCCGAGAAGGAATTTGTCTGCTAAAATGTACTCCCAGGCCAACCAAGGGCCCACACTTTACAAACAGTAAGAGTGGAGGCCGTTTGCTGACGGGGATCCTCACCCCTGTGCCGGGAAGGAGGGGACTCCACGCCCCGCTGTGTGGTCAGAGGCCGCAGGGCAGACCTGGCTTCATCTTTCTGCCAACAGCCTAGACCGGCCGTCCAATCAGAGCTACGCAAATTCTATCCCTATTTGCATCTATACCGATCAATCAGAAGCACACAATTTGGAAACTTCGTTTACATGACACAGACCAAAATGAGAAATGCGAGCAGGAAAATTCTCTATAAAACGGGACCTCCCGGGACTTCCAGGCAGGATGGCGGCGCAGGAAAACGCGGTGTCCCTCCTCCCACAGCCCATCAACATGACGCTAAACTACACAACCACTATTCAGAACCACCTGACATCGCCTGAAGGGAAGTCCTACAACTATGGAATTAAAGAAGCAGCCACATGGAGACTGGTAAAAGGGTGGAGGCACAGTAGGGCTGGTCCCACACCCAGGGGTGGTGGATAAAAATCAGGAGGACACCTCGGCTGGGAAGGTCCTCCCTGAGGACTGAGGGGTCCCCGTCCCACACCAGGTGCCCATCTCAGGGTTCCAGAGCCAGGAAGAGAGTCCCCATCACTTCTGACTATAAAACCAGTGGGAACTGAGGCTGAGAGAGGCTGAGGCTTCTGGAACCCCAGGCAGCTCCTCTTAAAGGGCCCAAGCGCACAGTACTGGAACTCACCCCCTCCAGGCTCTAGCGTTGGGGAGGTTGCTTGAAAGGCACTAGAAACATACGGGGGGAAACTGAGTTGTTTAACATCCGGGTGAGAGCTGGAAAGGCAGCTTTCTCCCAGACAGACGTGCTGGTGGAGGCCGTTGTGCTTTTGGGGAGCTCTTCCCCCATGGGACAGGCAGAAGGGTGCCATATCTTGGACTCCAGAAACCTGGTTCACACTATTTGCCCCACCCTGGTGATTCCCTGAGGCCCCGCCCCACCCAACTTTCTGGCCCACCCAAGCTGTTTCCTGTGGCTTTACTGTAGGATTGGCCTGTCTTGGCTCCTGCTTCAGACTTTCCTAAATTGTCTCAAACAAG